GCAGTGCAAAGGACAGCAGAGATGGCCTTAAATTAGCTAGCTCAGGTATGAGGAATAATGAAGCCATGGCAAGCTGAAGCTCAGCTGTTTTTGGCGTATCTTACTTCATGATTTTCTGCCTGTTTGATGGCAGTGTTCATGCACTGGCATACATCACTCTGCCCAAGCTGTGCCTCAGCTTACTCAGGGAACATTGTTTACATGTACCTGGGAGCAGTATTCAGAGGAGGAAAGGGTAGCAGTACTGTAAATCACATCAGGGAACAGAACAGCTGAAGCAAGAAACTGCAGGTGCCATGGGGAGGAGCAGATGAACAGATGACAAGGTGGCTAGCATTGGCTGAGGGCTGGTAGAGGACTTGCTAGGATTTGGGAGTGACAAAGCAGGGGAGAAAGAGTTGGATTAGGATGGAATACTTTAATTTGGTATGGAGAAGGGGGTCTCAGAACTGCTGGCGCAATTTAAGATGGCTGAATGAGTACCTTTTCCAAGAAAAAAAGCAAGGAAGATCATCATTGGATGAGAGGAGCAAAGAAATAGTTAAGTTTATCAAGACAAAAGATAGTATGGGCATGGCCAATATTTGTAATGCTACTTTTTTCTTCTCGTGTCTCTCTGACTGTTGTTTGCAGCTACTAGATCAGAGTACAGGTTGTCGGCCACATACTTTTCTGCCTTTCCAGCTGAATAATAGTCTTCATAGCTTCATAGCAAATTATGCTTCATTTCTGCCCCTAAACTCAACGCTATTCTATCTGGCAATTGCCAGTGCTTGCGTTTTCCCAGAACATCTCTCTTTTTAAACTTCTTGGTCTGTACTGCTTCTCCTTCTAGTCTGCCTTTATCCGTACTCTTCTTTCTTAATTCCATTTTTTTGCTTATGGATCCATTATCTGTAGCCATCCTTACATACATGGGCATGTTCCTCCTACACAGAACCCCCGTGCCATCTTTTCCCAAAGAAACCTTGGGAATGCTGCTGTCAGCCCTGAGAAACGCCTTCTTTATGCAGGGCACTGTTCAAGCAGCACCCTGCACGGGGTACTCAGTCTGCACCTCAGGGTGCAATCCTACGTTTAGTTGTGCAGCAGACGGGAAAGGGGTGCAGGGTCAGGCTCTGAGCACTCTGGACTGGTGTGTCTATGAAAACATACTTTTCCTTCCCTCCTATCCGCACGACTGTTCAGCTACTGGAAATGTGTGTTGCCAGTGCCTTCAGCACACAGTATTCTTAATTCTGACAAGGTTTTAGCTTCTGTGACTTTGGTTTTGTCATAAGATTTCAAAAGTTCAGTGTTCAAATAAATGAACTTTTTCTCACAATTCATTCCTCTCATCCCTACCGGAATGTTTTTGCATATGATATTTAGGGAGAGTATTAAACACAAGTGAAATAGATTAAGAAATGAATGTAAAAGAATCAATTCTTTTGAACTGTGGTTGCATAATGGAAATCGACTGCTATGAATGAACCTATGTTCAGAAGTTATGAACAGCAGAGCTAATGCACTGCCATGAGTTCATCTTTATTATTGCATTACACCTGAATCAATTGATAAAGTAGCTTTTTTTTAAGGCTAGGAATGGCACTTAATTGAATAAAAGTCAATGTAATTATATTAGGAGAATCCAACAGTACTGCTGACAGCGGAAAAGGGACACTACTGAGCAGAGTGCCAGAACTGGTCCACACATTTCTGCACATCGTTTGCCTGACAGATATTATGGGCTGGTACATACTTTAACTAGATTACTGATTGCCACTGCTGTAAGTGAGAATTGAATAAGGGAGGCATCTCTTCTTATCGGAGCATCAGCAGGGTTTGCATCCTTACACTGGTCTTTCTCAGAATGGCCTCTGTCCATCTGGGGCTCAGTGGCCCCTCTTTAATGTGCTAATTTATTCTTATCTCTTTATTCAGTGAATGCTGAAGTTATTTTCACTGCATGCCTGGCTGCTGGTTTTCTCAGCAGCCAACCAAGGAAATAGTAAGTGCAAATGCGTGGAAACAACAGTTACAGTTACCATGACTAGTTTCTACACTGCAGGAAATTCCTGTACCAGGGGAGGGAGGAGGGGAGAGAGGGGGCGAAATCATAAGAAGTAAACACATGAGCACTTTATGAGTAGTTTGCAGTTAGCATTATGATGATAAGCACAAATGTGCTTTTATGGTCATGTCATAACACTGGTCAGTGTGGACAGGCCTTCACAGTAAGCGTTTCCTGTACTGCACTTAGCAACTTTACGTGGAGTTGTACACCATCTGACACCAGGAAGGCAAGGGACTGTCAGGACTACTGTTTATCATTCATGTATGTGCACACTGCATGCATCTGTTCAGAACTCATTTGTGGATGATAATGGGGATGCTGTGAATATGCTTTGATTAATTTGCTTTATGTTTTTCATATTGTGTGGTTGAGTCAGTATCCATCAGGACAACAGTATAAGTGAGATTACAGCTGACAAAAACCAGTTTCACAGTCAAGACTTTTTTTAAAGTCTGTATTTTATTGGTTTCAGATCTTATTTTCTTTTTTTTTTTTTTAAACCAGATATGTCTAGATTGGAATGTGAATTTGTTCTCTCTCTCTCTCCTCCCCCTCCCCCTTTCTTTCTCTTTTCTCCTCTCTTCTCTCTCTCTCTCTCTTTTGTGATCTCAATTTAGCAAAAGATTAGAAAGCTGATCTTATCACAAGGTAAGCTCAGCCTTCCTAAGTGCAGTGTGGGGATATGCATAATTACACTTCTGCGCCTCAAAAAAGCAATGGTGCTATACTTGCTTGTCTGAAAGGAGTGTTTCCCATGTGGGAGAAAAACAAGGAATACTCTCCACTTTTTTCTGCCCTTGCCCATACCTCTCAACTGTCTCTCATTAGGAGAGAAATTTTCTGTTCTAGACACCCCCCCCTTACTGGAATAATTGCATCCCAAGCAGCCACAATCCAATTAAACTGCAGTTCAGTATCAGTTTTATGTCAGAGAACAGTTACCTGCATTTGCAGGTGAGTGGGACGGATCGCTTCTATTGCTGTTTTCCTTATTTATTCCCATAAGTTATGTGCAACAGATAGATGAAGCACAAAGTAAGTGGTAGAAAATTACAGAAATTAACTCCACATCAACTTAATCTTCCTACATTTCCATTTTCCTTATTTATCTGCATATATATTGCTGTACCATGTTTGGGACTTCTGCTGGTTGAGAGGTATGTTTCAAAGGGTTTCTTAAAAGAAAAGCTTCCTATAAGGAAATATTGCTAATAGCTATTGTTCCCCTTCTCCCTTTTTACTGTAGGACCTGAATGTCTATAAAATATTTGATTATTGTTATGTCTTCCCATGCCAATTTTATACCTAGTGCTTTTTTGCAAATTAAAGTATTCCTATGTTAAAACTCTCTCTTTCTCTCTCTCTCCCCCCGCCCCCACCCCGCTTCTTTCTTTTCCCTCCTACATTTGGGCTCTGATCTGCAATTTATAATGGGCAGACAGACTGGTGAGTCTGCATGTTGTAAATTGCGGGTTTGGGTCCTTAGCTTGCAAAGAATGTTACGCAGTAGAACTTCGCTAATTCTTTTTTTACTGACTTGAAAATCCAGTCACCCTCCAAAGAAACTGAATAAATATTTGTCATTTCCTCAGCAATAATGCACATTCTGAATACTGAACCCTAAAGTTTTCTAATACTGAAAACTTTATACTGATTTCTTATTATTAAGCACTTCGACAAAACGAGCATGTTCTGTGGTCAGAGGTCTTTGATGTCTGTCATGTTTGTTGGTTGCATTGTTACTTCAGAAAATGCAGTTTTTCAAAGAGGGTTTCCTGACACTGCTGCAAATCAGTGAGGTTCTACTGCAATGGATGAATAAAGCCAATGTCAAAAGTGGAGAGTAGGATGCCGTATTTAAAATAATAGGCTGTTTTACACAGTTACTAACCCAAAGGCTTACATTGTTTGCAAATTTAGAGCTTTATTTCTTGAGAACAAAGGCACAGATCCTGTAAAACACTTGAGAATATTTTAACTTGCGGCTCTTGGGATCTGGTCCAAAGACCACTGACGTCAGTGACAGCTTTTCCAGTGTCTCTTGAGCACCCACAGTGACTTCAGCACATACCTAAATCGAAGCCCATGCTTAAGTGTTTTGATTGATTCGGGGCAAAATTCTCATTGCCATTAGTAGGATTTTTTTACTGGAAATTATAGTGGTTGGGTCAGTCAGCACTGCATCATACACAGTGCTGGGAAGAGTACAGGGAGGAGCGGCAGTGCCCTCCCAGAAGGATGGAACCAGTGACTTTGGCTAAGATTTTCAGAAACTTACATGTAGATTTCAGAGACTTGTTCTCCTAAACCCTTCAAGTCTTGTCCATCTTGGTTTGGCCCAATTCTGAATCCCTTTATACTAGAATTAAATTATCAGAATCAGGACCTCTGTATCATTCAGTTACCTTTATTTTTTTCTGCTCCTATATTTCACTTACACAGTTATGTGAGTACATATATATACACAAAAATATATTTGTATGTATGTATGTATAAATATATAAGGATATGGATTTAGAGATAGACATAGATGCAAACACACAGATATTCCATATATTAATATTTTGTCTTGAAGCAAGGCTTTTAGGAAGGCCAGCAGGGATTCAGGAACCAAAGAAGAGCAATTTGCATTTTCTGCTAGTGCAATTTATTATTTTGTAAATATCAAATAAAAGGGCTGTAGCTGCTGCGGGGAACTAATGTTGAGGAGCAGTAGCTGAAAAGAAAAACAATATGGGGGGGTTAATTTGCTTGTTTCATTTTGGGTTTATGTTGCAATTTGTTCACTCATGACAAGACTGAATTTTCCAAGAAACATGGATAGGAGATATTGTCATGATAAATAATTGATAAATCAGAATTTGGATTTGGTGTTTGATGACTGTATGTTTAATCAAAAATACTGTACATTTTTCCTTTTCTCCCTTCCCTCTTCCTTTCCCAGACACAGTGCTAACATAAACCTGCATCGTAAACTGTTGACCAAAGAACTGGATGACATGGGCCTGGACACCTCACAGCCTTCTCTTAGTAAGGACCTCCGCGATGAATTTTTGGTGAAGATATATGGCGCTCAGCATCAGATGGGGCTCGACATAAGGGAAGATACCTCCTCACCTGCTGGTACTGAGGATTCCCATATGAATGGGTATGGCAGGGGCATGTCAGAAGACTATATGGTCCTAGACCTAAGCACCACCTCCAGCATCCAGTCCAGCAGCAGTATCCATTCCTCAAGAGAATCTGATGCAGGAAGCGATGAGGGCATTCTCCTGGACGACGTCGATGGGGCAAGTGACAGCGGGGAATCTGCCCACAAAGCAGATGCCCCTGCCTTAGCTGTAGGTATGGGCACCGATGTCCCAGGATCCCTCATGTTCAACAGTGTTTCGGTGAGCAACGGTGGGATAATGTGTAACATTTGCCACAAAATGTACAGCAACAAGGGAACCCTCAGAGTGCACTATAAAACAGTGCACTTGCGAGAGATGCACAAATGCAAAGTCCCTGGGTGCAACATGATGTTCTCCTCTGTCCGTAGCCGAAACCGGCACAGTCAGAACCCCAATCTGCATAAAAACATTCCCTTCACTTCAGTAGATTAGTTCAAGGATGGACACAGCATAATGCCAGCTCTCAGAGAGGGCCCACCACATCTGAACTGCCATATACAGTCTCCCTTTATATATATATATATATATATATAAAATATACATATATATATAATCTTTTTCTTTTTTTTTTTAACGAAAGAAACACCAGGTGCTTTTTCCCCTTTGTTGGTTGTTCATTTATTTTTTTCCTTTTTTTTGGGATAGAAACAAAAAGGTGGGATCTTTAATTTGCGGGGAGAGACCCTTCATGAAAAAAAGCAAACAAAAACAAAAAACAAAACTACAGAAAACTTGCAGTTGTCCCTAGTTCTGTTAGAACGTTCTTGGTCATCTCCAAAGAGACAATTTGTTCTACCCATGACTTTTGCCTGAAAAAAAAAAGAACAAAAAACAACAAAAAAAATTGCAAACAAACAAAATGAGAAAAAAACCAATCTACTTAGTTGTCTTTGTGTCTTCTAAGCATTGGGGATAACATTCTACTAAGCATGGCTGTTACACTTGTATATATATTGAGCCTTGACAGGCCTATGATGTAAAACAATTGTATTGATGGTGGTTTAACTCTTATTTTTTTGCTTAATTTTTACAGTTACATTCAGCTGTTAGATAAGCAGGAAAAATAGTTTGCTGGCTAGTTCTACTCATTTATGTTAGCTTTAATGCACATTTTTAAAAGAACCACGGTCTTGTTTTAACTACCTGCTAGATATAAGTAATACACAGGTGCTGGCATGCTTTACAGTACCTGATCTGATACAGTTTTTTTGTCTTGTACTATTACATAAATCCAGTCATGCACTTTTTCGTACACTACAAGGGGATGTGTAATAATATCCATGCTTTTTTTTTCTTAAACTATTGCCATATTTTCAGTAAGTGTCTTTAAAAAAATACACTTAGATAAAAGTGGTCTGGTCAGTATGAGGGCATGAATGCCAAACAAAGAGTATTAGTGTTTAGTGTTAATACAAAAGTGCCAACTTTGCACACGTTTTGAAAAAAGAAAATGTAGTTATTCACCATAACCACAGTTGTAGTTTTTGGACTACAGAAAAAAATACTGGGGAGGGAAAAGGGGTAAAGTGAAATACAGAATTCTTGGTGCTTTTTTCAAGTGCCAATTATTGCTAGAAACAATAGTGCATCCTTATTCCTTATATACTACATTACATAAAAGAAAAAAAACCAGAATTGTGTCATGTGAATCAGTGGAAACTTTTTTTTTGTCAAACATGCATAATATTTGGGGATATAAATGCTGATACTACTTGTCACAGAACAAAGATGAATATAATTTTGTGTGCTTCTTACTATGGCCTGGATTTTTTGTGGTGTTTTAAAAAAAAAAAAAGGAACAGGGAAATAATGTTAACTATGTTGTTCTGTAAAGTTGTCTTTTTTTGCAATGGAAAGTGCTGTAGTATGATTAAGGCATGTTTTATAGAAGCAATCAAAAGAAATTAATGGCAGAAGCACTTAGAAGCTCTGAAAACATATGCTGGACTTTTTATTGGGTAACTTTCCCTTTGGATAAAATTAGAGGCCAGAAAAAAAGGATCTCTAGTTGCGTTAATGTTTTATGTTTCACCCACATGGTTTGTCAGAAAATAACGAAAGTCCAAGAAAGATAGCGAGCAAGAAAGCGAGCATGAACAGGAGAGGGAGAAGGAGCAAGCAGTTGAGAAAGGCAGAGAGAAGAAGAGGCTGTCCTCTGAATCTTTTTTTGTTTCCGGTGTTTACACGTTGCTTGAGCTGGTAAACCACACCGGCAGCTTGAGTTACCACAACATACTGTCTGAGTGATGGTATTTACTTAAGTTCAGTCTACAGCCAAAACCATTAGGGTGTGTGTTGTAGACCCTTTTCTTTACAAAAACAATAACAATAACAAAAGCAAAACCAAACAAACAAACAAACAAAACCCCAAGGGATATTTCCGCGTACAATAAAATACTCCTTCAGTGAGAATGTGTTCCTTTTCTGTATTTACTGACCCAGAACATTATTCTTCTTAGCCAAGAGTCAGAAATGTTCCATTGTTTCAGCTTGTCGTTCGTTGTTTTGATTTGCTGTGCATTTTGATTATTCTTACCTTTATGTCCACTTGAGTACTTAACTCTTGTTAACGTTTTCTAGAGGAAACTCTTAATATGGATTTCCTCTTTTTTAGTACTCTTTATGCATTTCAGTATTCTTGTTTCCAAAAGTAGGAATCAATAGCTAATAAACCAGTATTTCCAGTTGTAGAAAATAAAAGAAAAATCTTTTAAAATGGATTCTCACTATGTTCCTATGGGTTACAAGCCTCTGATCATTTTTTGATTCTGTACACCGATGAAGCCCTGAAAACATTTGTGGATCCCACAGAAACTGTAAGGAAAATTTACCTTCTGGTTTAACAAAAAGAAACCTTATAGCCAAAAGGTAAGCAGTTTCACTGACTTTTTTTCTTTCATCTTTTTTATTTTTTCTCAAAGTCTCAACTACTTTGCCTTGTTAAATTGAGTGGAGAGATCTGCTTCGCTTTATTTTATATTGTGCAAGCTCAGTGTGTTTGTGAGAAAGGGAAATAAGAACAGTAAAGGTGCATTCCTCTAAAATACATGGACCTTTGTAGTGTTATCTGTACTGCACTCCTGTCCCTCCTCCCAAGCGATTAGGAACAAGCAAGATGGAAAGTCTTAAAAACAAAACAACAAAAATTGAATGATATCTACAGAAAGAAAACCCCACTGTTTTGTAGTATGTATGGTATAAATAAATATCATTTCTAATGAAAAACACTTCTGGGATATATAAATAATTCCTCGTTGAATGAATCACTGTTCTGCATTCTCATTTCACTTGGTTTCTGTTAGAGGTCAAATGGTTTTGGTAAACTTGTTTGGAAACTTAAACATCATCAGTAGATAAATTCAGCAGATGAATTGCATAGAAAAAAAATCTGTTTCTTACACAAAATGAAACAGGACATTCTAAAAAGTAAAGAAGCAGGGACAAACCTCCAAAAACTGTTAGAAGCTCTGCAATCCTACTTTTATGGCATCCTAAACTTAATTCAGATTTTGCTTAAGCCGTGTAGGAGAAATCATCTCCATCTTGTGGACAGAATATTACTCACTGTCATTTCTAGGCAAATCAAGTGGTTTCTTCAGTGCTGGTGATACTAATGTCAGAACAGTCTTTGTTTTAGAAGGGCACATACACTTACATTGAATTGGATGGCATTTCCCTCCTTCCTACTTACCATGCCTCTCTATGAGAATCTGTATTTATCAGAATTGTTCCTGTGGTGGAATTTGTATCATCTGGTTATCTGAAAAATCCTTAAAAAGACTGTGTGCTAGAAGCTTGGTTTTACTGACAGAAAGTAGCATTTCTGGGTGATCTCAGCAGCGACTCAGACTACAATAAGCGTAATGACCGAACATCTCACATGTCCAGCACAGGGCATGGCTGTAATGCTGTGATGACAAGATAAGTGTTGTGCAGTTGCTTATGCCATCACAAACCTGTGGCTATTCCTTCAGTTTCGAAACCTGTCAAGTCTAAACCTTTTTACAAGAATTAGACCAACCTTGAGGAAGAGACTCTTCATTTTACATGGAGTTTGTTCCTTCTTGTTTGGT